TGTGTGTGTGTGTGTGTGTGTGTGTGTGTGTGTGTGTGTGTGTGTAGTATATATATATATATATATATATATATATATATATATATATATATATGTATAGTATAGTATATATATATATATATATATATATATATGAGATAGAAAGAAAGAATTGGGTGTGCAACCGTCTATATCACAATACGTACACGGATAGACAAAGAATACTTTGAAACTGGAACATTCCCAGATACAGCTCCGAGACACTCAAGAAATATATATGATTGCTGTACAAATAGCTGACAATAACAAGCAATCTGATGCGTTTGATCCGATTGTCGTTGGCGTACAGGATACTCGTCTATGGCACTGCCCATGATGTGGTACTGAGCACAACCCACCACAGTACCTCGGGTGAGAGCGTGTGGCACACATGCATCGATACAAAATACCTTTTGAAACATACATTCCAAATACTAGCTCCGGTATGCATGTGAAACAGATAGAGTGATAGACACGACATGACAAGCTGACACATACGTATAACCGTCACTACCGCCACCTAACACTCACCGTTGGTTCTGCTCCTGGTGTAACACTGTGCACAACCCGCCACAGCAACTGCGGTATGAGCGTGCAGCTGTACAGATCACTGGCAAACAGCAACAGCTTATAAGGCACCTTGACAAATAGGTTGAACTGGACCAGCTCGTTGATGTTCGGTACTAAATGGGCGAGCCACCATTTGCCGCTCTGCTTTAGAGTGATCTCGTCCGCCGTGCCTGCGCTGGATGTGACGTGCTCAAATAACTTCACGGCTTGTAGGTAGACGACAAGCAGCTGTGGGTGTGGGTGGGTGAATAGAGGCAAGAAATAGGAGCGATTAGCTCGAACAACCAAGTGCACTGTAGGTACACTGAAAACAGCTGTGGGTGTGGGTGGGTGAATGAAGGTAAGTAACAGGAGAGATTAACTCGAACAACCAGGTACACTGTAGGTACACTGAAAACAGCTGTGGGCGTGGGTGGGTGAATGAAGACAAGTTGTAAGAGAGCATAGATCGAACAACTTCGTCGACTGCAGGTACATAAATAAAACCCAGTAGTATATGCGGTCAGTGCTATCAAATTTGCCTGGAAGATTTGCACATGCGAGCTGTGTGCAGGTCAATATGCCAATAAAATATTTATTCCCGGCGGGAGCTTAATTTGCCGGTAGTGAACGTACATTGATCCGGCTACATCGGTGGTACTACATAGACCAACTCGTGGTATTGAGTAGCACAAACACCAATTCATATTTATAGTAACAGTTCATACGTGCCACTTGGTATGAGATATTGAATATTCGTTTCGAAAACAACCCGATTAATTCAACGGTTAGAATGTTGTGCTTATAGGTTAAATGGCCACGCAATAATCCGAGTTCGATTCTCGGATCGGGAAAAAAAACAATTTTTTTCAGGTAGAATCTATATTCTTTTTTTTTTTAAAGGAGAGAGAGATCTGTAAACCCCGCGTATGTACTAAGAAACTCTCGGTGGCGCAGGTTTGGTACCAGCAGTGTGCTTTAAAACACTAACCCATACCAGCACTAAAAGCACATGACAACTCGGAGACATAGGACGATTTGGAATCATACTTTTTTGGTATAAAACAGCAGTCTAATGTAGAACAGCGGTACAAAAAACACGCGACAAAGAACGCCGAAGGCCACAAAGCGATCATTGTGCGTATAACCACTACTTCAGACCAACACATGAGACAAGCGACAACTATGAATGATACATCAGACAAAAGATAACATACCTTTTGACATATAACCGCAGTCCACACCCACCAAAAACATGTGACAACCGTGGTAAACAGCTTCGAAGCTAGCACTGTGCGTACAAGCACTACTTCAGGGCCACACAGAAAGAAGGTTGTCATGGCGTGCGCGTCCAACCCCGTGTGATATAGCAGCATTAGGGGCGTTAGGAACTTCCACAGCTGTGAGAATATTCAGTGGGATGGGTTGAGTTAGTTTTAGTGTGACTTGAGTTGCTAAGCGTATATACAGTATGAATTTTTCGTAACAGTACAAAAATAGAATGAATAGGGTTGGATTGACTTCATAGAGTATGAGTTGTGTTGCGATATTACATACGGAGAATGCGATTTCCACAGTTGAGCGATTATTCATAGCTGAGATAACCAATGCGACTACGAGATATATAAAAATACAATACACCAAGTATAACACTCAAATTGCTGTGCAATAATTAAATGAATCGGGTTGACAATTGTTAACATATTATATATATAAATGTATATATATGTGT